TTAAAAGCCAAACGCCATCCCACCTTCAAAATTCCATATGCCCTCCTTGTCTCTCGTATTCTTGAATACAAAGGAGTAAATGTCGAAGGTGAACAAACAGTACAAATGAATAACTTAAATCGCATGCTGGACAACACATTAACCCAACTCCAAATGGTGCGTGTCAACAATATTTATGTTCACAAGGATGACGTTCCAAACGAAGATGACAATAATGAAGATTCTGATGAAGATATGCCCCCTGCTGCTGAGTTTCCCTCTGATCAAATCCAAAGTGTTGGAACTTCCTCTGCTCATCCTGAAACCCGACAATCTATGGAAGATATGTTATCTGATATGAACCAGAGGATGCAGGCATTCTTCACTCTTTCTGGAGTACGGCATGAGGAAATAATTCGTCGTGTATTTGATGTAGATGATAAAGTGTGCCATTTAGAAAATAAATTTGATGCACACTTTCATAGTGATAGTGAAGAATTTTAAAATTTGTTTTATTTTATCTTGTGATTATAATGCATTTTCATTTCTGAAGTAAAATGTGGTGTTCTTTTAATGCTTTGTTTGAGGGGGAGTTATCTCCAAGTTATGCATATTTTGAGGGGGAGCTCTTATGATTGTTTTAGAAAGAGCTTTCAATTTTTTATTATAATCAAAATAGCGGGAGAAATATTTAAAGCCTCTTATGATTGATTTTAAATATTATCTGGTATGTTTAATGTGTTTGTTAGTGTGACAGATAAAACAGGTTATTACAAGGCTTTAAAAGAAAATTTTGATCATCATCAAAAAGGGGGAGACTGTTGAACATACTAGGACTTGATGTTGAACTTACATGGACATGAAGCTTGTTGATTTTGATGATGATTCAAGAACAAAGAACTTAAAGTGTTGAAGACTTGTATTGTTGTGTAATAACTCTGTTTTGATGAGTTTGAGTCTGTAATATTAGAGTCTAAGATAGCCGATATATAATCTACTCTTTAGAAGCTTCAAAAACTCATATTTATCAGTTAGCCTCGGGTTTAATCGATTAAATCATCAGATAATCGATTATTACAGTGAGAAAAACCATTTTATGTAACTATTCACTGTAATAATCGATTAACACACCTGTTAATCTATTAATAGGCCTGTTAATCGATTAACAGGGTTTTTAATCGATTAAAACAGAGAGTTTTGGGGTTCTGTTGATTTGGCTCTGTAATAATCGATTAACACTTCATTTAATCGATTATTTCAGTCAGATTTTGATTTTCACCTTCAAATCAAACCTATTTTCGAAAACCATAATCCCAATACTCCTAGTTCCGAAAATCCCAATTCCCAAACCCTAATTTCTCTACTTAAGGTTCTCTAAGGCTCTCAGAAAAATAGAACAACCTTTTTCAAACAAAAGTTAAGTGTCGTGAGTGCCAGAGAACTGTTTGTTGGAGGAAAAAGGGGCTTTTGGAACCTGGTGTGGGCTAGAAGCGATAAGAATCACTAAGTGGAGTTCTTAGTGGATTGTGTGTTGTGCCGTCTCTGGGGAAAGTTGTTCTTCATCTCTTGTGGGTTTCAAGAGAGGTGTTTTCTTTACTTTGTATTTTCAATTGTTATCTGTTTGTAACAACTTTGATTATAGTGACAGCGTTAATCCTCTGTTTGAGTGATTAGCAACTGGACGTAGGATCTTTTGATCCGAACCAGTATAAATCTCCTGTGTAAGACTCTATCTCTATCTTATTTACGTTTACACAGCTTTTTAATCGGGAAAATTTGGGGAAAATTTTTAAAACCTAATTTTTGTTAAGAAACCAATTCACCCCCCTCTTGGTTTTTGTCCGACCACGCGAACATTCCACTGCGTGATTCTAACAATACATGCATGTCTTAATGATTGTATTTTATATAGAAATTAGTTCAAAGAGCTAAAAAGATGTCAAATTTGTGGGTTTTGTTTCAAAGTGAAGGATAATAATCAAGATAGTAGTGAGGACATTACTATTGAGAGACCCCCTACCAAGTCCATTTGGTATCTTCCAATAATTCTAAGGTTCAAGCGTTTGTTTGCGAATCCTAAAGACGTTAAAAACCTTAGATGGCATGTAGATAGGAGGACATGTGATGGATTACTTTGTTATCTAGCTGACTCTATGCAATGAAAAGACTTTGATAATGAGTTTTTTGAATTTGGTGTTGCGTTAAGAAATCTTAGACTTGGATTGACTACTGATGGAATGAATTTGTCTAATAATCTAAGTATTAATCACAGTTCCTGACCTGTTTTGCTATTTATTTACAACATACCTTCAAGCTTGTGTATGAAGCGTAAATATATGATGTTGTCTATGATGATATCAGATCCAAGTCATCTCCCGTGGATAGAGATGTCATACATTATATTAGACGCACATGGACAACTTTCTTCATCAACACAATTAATTTATTAAGATAGCTTAGTGTCATGACTTTATGGTTGAACCCTATGATAGTTGAATGATCATTATTGTACATTTAGGATAGTTACTAATAATACTTGTAGGATTTACAATGACTTTATAGGATTTTAGTAAAACTAATATTATATAGTAAGTATTGTATATATTTATGATTTTGTATGTACTATAAATATGACTGGAATCTATATTGTACTGGATTGTATATTTGAATATGCGGGAATTGAGAAAGAACCTATAAACATATTATTCTTTAAAAAAAAATCAAGATACAACGACGGTTAATACCATAGTCGTTGTAATATGCATGCTTGACTCAAGGCTTCAATGACAAGTATAGTCACACTCGTCATTGTATGTAAGGATACAACGACGTTTATTTGCAAATAACCGTTGTATGTGAAATCTTTGCAAATAACCATTGTTGTATCCCTACATACAACAAATACTACATCAACTACGGGTCCTAAACTGGAGTGGTAGAAAACCCTGTTAAAAACTACATCTCTACTAGAGATGTAGTATTGACAACCCTGTTTTTATGATCATCTAGTATTTTGTCTGCCTCATAAAAACATTGACTAGCTACACGTCAAGTTGACAATATAATAAACATATAGATCAACTACACTTTATGATGACCTCCTGATTGACAAAATACATGAATTAACTATATATTAAATTGACAAATAAATTTTATAATATGGTGTAAAATGATACATGGGCAAGGATCACTATAGAAAATAGGGTTTTCATATATTTATTCTTTTGAACATTTTACATCGATTGTTGAATCGATGTAGATGTTATCCATGTTATATATCCACTTTAAAAAAAATCCATATGTATCGTACCTGTAAATGTTGACATTTTTTCACATAATCATCGATATAGTGTTATTTATTTTTTATATTTTTCCACATAATACAACAAAACAATATCAATAACAATATACAACATCAATGACTATTTTTTTGTCCATTCTTAATAAAATTTATCATATAATCAATAAAAGAAATAGAAGTGATATACTTACTAAGAATGATGACAATAAGAGAGAAATATGAGGTGGCAATGATATAGAGACTAGTGGCAATGTCGTAGATAATTGAGAAAAATTTCATCTTTATTCTTTTTCGTGTTAAGATGACTATTACCAATTAGATAATCATGTAGTAACTATATTCTATTGTGATAGTTGAGCAATCTTTGGAGACGTGAAGATTTAGAAAGGAGGAACTTTAGAAAGAAAAAAATTTCGAAGATGAGTTTTAAAAAAGAAAAGTTTAAAAATAAGAGACTTTAAAGAGAATGATCTACGTAGAGAACAAGATTTGAGAGAGTATAACGACGACAACGACACAACAAAAAGAAGATTTTTTAGGAAAACAGTAAAAAAATAATAAGATGCAAAATGATAATATATAAAAGACTTTCTACACTAGTTATATTAATGACCGATGTAGAGAGTTTGTCAATTATTTTAAAAATATGACCACATTTATATTTAAATCGTTTCTCATATAATCAATATAGATAATGAATCTAGATAACTCGACCTAAAATAATGATTTTTCACGGATCAAATTTAAAAATATTATCCGAGAAGAAATATTTAATTTTACTATGTCACCCAACAAGAATCAAAGAGAATTTGTGACTCAGTATAAAGAGAGAACGTGAAACTAAGCCACATAAAAAAAATGAACTACAAGAAAAATATCACCAACTTACAAACATAAAAAATAAATAAAGATGAAAAGTATCGAAACTTATCCAAGATACTAAATTATATAGGCTTAAATCTAACTTTTTCGAAAATTTCATAAATAATTTTAATATTTTAAAAATTAAATTACATATTTAATTCTCAGGTTTTTCAAAATTAAATAATATATATAATCCAAATTCTAAAAAAAATTATTAATATGTTTATTTGTGATGACATTATTAGTTGTTTATTTGCTTAAAATTTTAATAATAAACTCTAAGATATGTTATCACTATAATTAGGCTATCTTTTTTAAGTATTAAACTATATATTATGTTGGACCGTACAAATTACTAAATTTTGGAAAGTTAGAAAACTAAATATGTTATTAAAATTTTACCAAAAATTGCACATTGATGGAATTGTAGAAATCAAAATGAATTAATTTAAAAGTCTTATATATATATATATATATATATATATATATATATATATATATATATATATATATATATATATAATAGAAAATCCAGTGAAAAGAAAAATGATTCCCAAACATAAACAAAATAACAGGATGTCAAAAAACATAATCTGTATGGAAAAGGCATTGACTAGTTGTTTTCTAGATGGCAAAGCTATGAAACTATTGTGCAATACAGCTAGGTTTTATTGCAACCATAAATTAAGTAATAACAAATTCTTGACTCTATAAAGTTTTGCACCTTTGTGTTTCTCTCTACCAAGTTTTCAAAACCTTGACCCTACTTTTCATAAATCTACCAAATAACCTTTTCTCTTCATAGTTTCTACCATTGTTGTGACCTTGTTCAAGTCCTTTTGCATTTGCCACCAGGATGGATTCAAACCAGACACTCTTCTCTTCGGTCACGTTGTTGCAAGACTTACCATCAATCCGACATGAGATATACAATGTGTGCATGAATCAACCAATGAAGATAGTATCTGATGGCATATGGAATCCCCATGCAAGTGCAATACCTTCACAATCTGCATACACCATGCTTCAGCTTCAAATGGTCATCATCTTCATCGTCACGCAAGCTATTCATTTCATTCTCAAACAATTTGGGATCCCTCCTTTCGTTTCACAAGTCATGGTATGTATCTATCTATATATCTTTCTTCGATATCTAGTCTTCAAGTTTTTATATCTTTGCTAGTTTTATTAGCATATTTATCATATTCAAAAGAAAACATATTTGGTTTTTCCAAATGTGCACAAGTCCATCAAATTAACATCCAAATAATAACATTTTTTTCGCAACATAGAATCACGTCACTTTGTGAAAGCAAGATATAATTTAGCTTCTACGTCTTGCCTAGTTTTTTACGTTAAATTAAAATTTTACAACGTTCAAACGAGCACGTTATAATAGGAACTCGTGTCATTCCCTGTTACAATGAAACAATATTGTGCTTTTAAGGAATTCAAATACAACTATACTATTTACAACCACTTGTCCATTACAGTTTAGAATATGATGAATGATTTACAACTATATGTCCAACACACATTTATTACTACTTCAAAACTTGATGATGAAACTTACAAATTATAACCATTACTTTTAAAATTACATATGAAAATCATGTTATATATATATATATATATATATATATATATATATATATATATATATATATATATATATATATATATATATATAGATAGAGATAGAGAGAGAGAGAGAGAGAGAGAGAGAGAGAGAGAGATGTCTTGTTAATCAGCAAGCCAAAGGTAAAAGAACTTAGATTGACTCAGTCTAATTTAATTTCTTTTTATCTAATTCGAATTTCTTATACATTATGGTATGACTGGACCCTTGTCCCATTGAACAAAATCAAATAAATCTATTTATGTTAAATTTACATTCAGTATATTATAAAATAAAGAATAAATAATAATAATATTAAATCAATAAACACTTTTTAAACTAATGCTTTTAGGTCTAATTTGACCCATTTTACCTATTAAATCTAACTAAAGTTATCCAAACAGTCCAATCAATTCTAATATGTCATCCATTTTGTATATCGATAGCTATATCTGGATCATGATGAAAAAAAATATGAGAAAACTAAGAAAATACACAAATAATAACATCTCTATTTGACATGAACCACATTTAGAGATTCTATGAAAGCAAACCCTATTATACTAATCTCCCATTCTTTCAGGCTGGCTTTCTGATGGGCCCATCAATTCCCACAGGACCATTGGAAAAGTACAAGAGGATGCTGTTCCCCTTGGGGAGTGCAGATATCCTAAGCACAGTCTCATCCTTAGGCTATTCATTTTTCCTCTTCATAAACTCAGTGCAGATGGACCTATCCTTGATCACCAAAACAGGGAGAAAGGCTTGGGTGATAGGACTTTGCTCATATTTCATTCCCATAATAGTAGGGTTTGTCACCATGAACTCGGTCAGGCCCTTGTTGGTGGAGATCATGGGAGATGACATTTATGGTTTGCCTGTGGTATTCCTATCTCACTGTGGTTGCTCCTTTGCTGTGGTCTCAGCGTTGCTCCATGACCTTAAAATCCTCAACTCTGAAATCGGACGCCTCGCACTCTCTGCAGCTTTTGTCAACGATGTTACAGGTAACCTCAAAATTTTTATTTATAAACTTACACTTCTTCATGTAGAGACCAAACTGAAAATTAGCTCACATACACTAAATTACATTTTTAATCAAATATATGTATTTAAACTTTTTTTCTTGCGTTATGTTATCTGCATTGTGCCACTTATCAGGTGGAATCTGTGGAGGAATTGGCACTGCTTTTGTGAAGAGCCAGGATTTGGATGATTCTATCCGTACTAGAAACGTGATGGTATTTCTTGTTTTCATAGCCTTGACTCCACTCATTGGTCGTCCTGCAATGAGGTGGATCGTGAGGAAGACCCCAGAAGGTAGACCCGTGAAAAAGATATACATCTATACCATCACAATAGTGTTCTTGGGATTGGGGTATTTTGCTGGGATTTTCCGTGAACCCTTCTTAGTAGCAGCTGTTGTCTTAGGCCTTGCAGTCCCTGAGGGTCCTCCTTTGGGGTCTGAACTGGTTTCCCATATTGAGTTGTTCTCCGAGTGGTTCCTCTCCTCAATTTTTCTCACATGTTGCACCATGAAAGTGGATCTCACCAAATCTGACTCTCTCTCCGTCGTAATAGCCATATCTGCTTTCATCATTTTGGTGCACTTGGTTAGGTGGGTTTTGTGCATCGGAGTTTGCCGATACTGTAAAATGCCCTTCAGTGATGGTTTTTGCCTTGCTCTCATTTTGAGCTGCAAAGGGATTGTGGATATCTGCTCCTATGTTCTTGTCTACGAAACAATGGTAATTACTTGGTCAATCACTCGGTCAATCACTCATGCATGCAACATGCATTTTATGGAACCATTAAACAAAAACCACTTGCATTACCTATCAATGTTGTTTCATATGACATGTTTTTTTAACATACTTTTTTGGTCGCTGGTCAAGCCCTCACTGTTACGTAGATGACTTAAGTTAAGAATGTAATTCTCATAGGAATGTATAAAAATACGAACCAAACCTTTTTCTTTAATCGAACCGGGTCACACTGTATGAAATATCGAATTTTGCTTTGAAAAAATAGTTTCATGAAGTGTTGATTTTTGTAAAGTGATTCAATTTGGTTTTGTTCAGTTCTTCAAAAGAACCCAATCATACAAAACTGTAAGACTGATACTGAATTGATATAAAAAAAACGAACGAAATTAGTTTATAAAATGATTGGAATCGAACTTTTCTATGAAGTGATCTATTCAAACCGAATGGTTGTGTTGTTCGGTTCAATTTTTATTTTTTAATTTGGAAAGAATAATTTTTTTTTTTTTCACATAATTGTCACTCTGTTTTTGTAGAGCTTATACCAATTTTATTTAATGATAAAAAACGTTTTGAAAACTATATTATAATATATGGGATGGTGCTAAAATTTCTGATCTCGTGATTACTATTTTGGTTTTCATTGAATTTGTTTTGAAATGATTTCAACATATTAGTGTTTTTTGGTCTTAATTCGGACTATTATTAACACATAGTTAGTGAACTCAATAACATTATAGTGGTATTAAATGAATTTGCATTATCTTTACACCTTTTTACGGTTACTTTCTAACACAAGAAGTGGTTGTAGGGTAAGATGTAAAAAGTTAAGATGGCAAAATATATATCATGATTCGTTCAGTTCTTGAACTAATTAACTAAATTCAACTACTTCAACTGACGCAGATACAAAGCAAACGAGTAGTAAATGTTATGATCATCTCAGTGTTGTTCCTAGGAACAGCTTCCAGGTTTGGAGTGAAGGCATTGTATGACCCTTCAAGGAAATACGCAGGGTACCAGGAAAGGAACGTCATGAGCTTGAAAAACAACAGTGAGCTTCGGATAGTTGCATGCATCCACAAGCTATGCCACACGATTCACATCAAGAACTTGCTCCAACTTTGTTCCCCTGCACCAGAAAACATACTAGTGGCAGACATTTTACACCTCATGGAGCTAATTGGAAGGTCCAATCCCATTTTCATTGCACACAAACTTCAGCATAGTGTAGGATCATCATCCTACAGCATCTCTGGGGAACTCATTGTGACCTTTGACCTTTTCGAACGTGACTGTGTTGGTTATGCCACTGCTAACACATACACTGCCATATCCCCAGTGATATTCATGCATGAAGATGTTTGCAACCTAGCTTTAGACAAAAATGCAGCCCTTATAGTACTTCCATTTCATGTGAAATGGGGAGGGGATGGTTCGATTGAGTCAGAGGACAGAAACATAAGGGCACTTAATTGCAATGTTTTGGAAAGGGCACCTTGCTCTATTGGAATTCTAGTGAACCGTGGCCCTTCTAGCTTCAACTCAACAACTATCAAAATGGCCATGGTTTTCTTGGGTGGACCTGATGATAGAGAGGCTTTGTGCTTGGCTAATAGGTGTGCCAAAGATGTTAATAATAGTTTGTATGTGTTTAGGTTGTTAGCAGATAACCATGATACCTCCAATTGGGATCACATGATCGATGATGAAGAGTTGAGAAGGGTACGTGGAGCTCATATTAAACAAGATAATGTGATCTATCAAGAGATTACCATAGGAGATGCATCCCAGACAACGTGTTTCATCAAAGATATGGCCAACCAGTTTGATTTTATTGTAGTTGGTAGACGCTATGGAGTTAGATCTCCTCAGACCTTTGGGTTAGAGAATTGGACTGAATATTCAGAGCTGGGGGTCATTGGTGATTTGCTTGCTTCAAATGATACAGATACTACGGCTTCAGTTCTAGTTGTTCAACAACAATTAACTTCTAGGTCATGACAAACACATACTAGTTAGCATTTGTTTTTGCTGAAATTTTTTCCATTTTGTACGATATTTTCAGGCTTAATTAGTTAAAGTTGTTTTAATTTCAAGTTCTAATGTTCCAGCTCCATATAAAAGGATGCAAGTCAAATGTCTTTAACAGTCCGGGGATTAAAATGTTAGGCATAACAAAGTTTTAAACTGTTACAGACTATAGAGTCTTCTTATGTTTTGTTATAACTACTTGTATAGTCCAAATTTACAGCTTAAAATGATGATTTCTTAATTAATTAAAATCAGCATACGATGGTTTTAAGTGATTTCTTAAAATTAATGAAAATCAACATACAACGGTTTCTTGAGAAAATTTATCACTTAAAGAGCAAATTCATGCATATAAAATAAAATAATGACATTTATTTTAAAAAAATAAATGATATTTGATCATAACTGATATATCACATTGTTAATAATAAATAGAAAAACATTTTCCAGTTTTAAGTTTTTTATTAAATATTAATAAAAGGAATGAAACACATATAGATGAGATATTAATTAAGCTTGATAGTTAAAAGGGAAAAGGTTCTTTTATCTATAATCTAGTTTGATTCGTTAGTTAGGCGGACTATATGATATATGCATAATTTAGAAATATAAGAAATATTATATTAAAATATAAATTAAATAATCCTAATAAGCTTTGATACCAAATGCTTTTTGGATAACTATCAAAATAACATCTTATACCAAATACAGAATAAGATGGCTAGAAAATTATTAAAAGGGGAAGAATTGGTTAAAATAAAAAATTTTAAAGGGCAGTTTCGTTATAGTTGAGATGGTTTGGTTGATTCTTAGAAGTTTTTGTTAAAAAAGAAGTAAAAATGAAACTTACATATAAGAAAAATAAAATTAAGGCGTGTAGCGGCTCTACCTGTTTTGGTAATGTCCAGTAAGTTTTCTGTATGCTTTTAGTCCTCTTGTTGAAGTGTCTAGTTTGGATCCCATTTTGTATTATATTTTCAGGCTATCAGATATTTTAAATTTTACAGGAAATTTTGCCTCTAAAGTATCTTCAGGTCATTTTCTGCCACAAGTTCATACATTTAACTTAGTAAATGTTATATATCATCAAGGGTTCTAAATTGCAGAAATGTGTAAATACGGTTAATTGCGGTTGATGCAACTAAGTGTTTGTTTGAAAACACCAAGGGTTATACAGTATCACGTTGTTTAATGTTTAACAATTCAAAATGAATTCTGCTAAGATTTTAAACACAGCCTAATGTGTAGAAGGGAGAAAAAGTAAAAGCCACTTTCTTACCCAATGTAGGTTGGCTATGCATTTAGTTGTGTGCATCAAGTCTCCCTCCCACTGTATTTTGATGATAGAAAATGAGAAAATGAGTTAGTTTTAATATAGGTTTCAAGTCTCCAACTTCACTTATTACACTGAAGTAGAAGCTTTGGACAGTCATCTTATGCTATGTGAAATCAGCAATAAATTGAGCAAATAGATGGTTGATGCAAATTGTGGATTCACCTTTTCAAAAGTGTAGATTTTCCTCTTTAGATAATCTGATGATGAGTGCATTCTGTATCTCTTATGTCCTTTATTTTTTCTTCAACACTTGACATCGCAAGATGCAGACTACGATGTTATTCCAATCACTCTGCTGGGTTCAAATGCATGTAAATAGGCCATGTTATTATCATTTTAGTACCCAGCAAAATGTTTATCAGGACCTTTGCCTTCAACTTCATTTTTTCCTATTTCAATGAAATTCTAACAATGAATTTTAAGATACTAGCCGGCACCTAGAAGATGAAATTAAACAATCCCCAAACAAAGCGCAGAGCTCACCCATATCCAAAGTTCATACCATCCAATAAGATGCAATATGCACATCCTTAATCCCTTTACTAGCTGCTTTGCAAGGCGGCAAGCTATTATGAGTGTTTTCAAAGTCGCACAATGGTCATAATGGAGATGAACAAACTACTTTACAAGTAGGTCTGCATCACTATCCCTCACATACCTTTTTGTGCCAAGTCCAATTGAACTATACTTCCATTATCGAGCCTCCATATACGCAGGCTTCTATAATTGCTGCTTACTTGGTTTAGAATTTGACTATGCTCTAAAGGCATCATTGTTGCAAAGGCTCAGTAATTGCATGACTACTCTTTGCTCTTTCTTTACATTTTAAAAAACAACACGGATCTAAGCCTTCAAAGCTCATGAACAACCTAATTTCTCTCAATATTTGTTTCTATTATCGACCAGGTTCAGAAATTTTAGTGGTTTACATATTCACAATTAAATGCATTGACAACCTAATGATTAGAACTTACCTAAACGACAGACATGCAGTTCATTGAACTACAGAGGATCCAAATCCTATCAAAATAACGTTATAAGCAACAAACAAATGAATTAGCTTTCACCCTCAAACTAGTAACCATGGTCACCTTGATAACTCAATTTTCCATTTCAACATATAAAAACAAAATGACTAAAATTGACTATCCAAGAACCAAACTGGTAAAAACATTAAAAAAAAACTCTCCAAACAAAAACAAGATTACGAATTTATGAACAAGATGTTGCACTCATTCACAATAAATGTGAATCATTCTTTAAATGTTTTAATAAAAAATGGAAACTACAAGAACAAGCCAATCACAATAGCTCGTGCACCGGACCACAAACTTAGGTACACCCTATCCCATGAACCCTCACGCAACCATTGTCTGCTAGTGACACTACAATGATGCCACTTGGTCGGCGCATGTTAGCATTCGACGCCCACATAGGTGGCGCGTCGATAAACCTCGGGCAAATCCACCCCTCTCCTCCAATTTCCGGCGACGCAATCGTAAACCAAAACAAACCCTTCTTTCACACCTCTCACCTCATTCAAACTCTGAATCAGCACCACCTTATCACCAATTCCCACAAAACTAAACCTCATCCTCGTGTCCATTCTAAGTTGCGCCGGTAGTGGCGGGCTCTTTATCCTACACCACTCTCCAAATCCTCTCCCATTGTCTCTTTTCCTCCGCGCGTTGAAGCTCCAAAACGAGTACTCCACCGCGTGGCTTGTGAGTAGGTACACGCGCCCTGCGGCTGCGCAAGCCGCCACCACGCAGCCTCCATTAGGCACCGAGCGACTCCGGAGCCACACACGCGCCTCCACGTCGAACAAATCCATGGAACTCGCGTACGCAGCGTGAGCCTCAGTTCCGCGGGAAGCGCGTGGAAGCAAGTTCTGTTCCGACGCGCCAATTCTCAGCCCGCCTATGACATAGAAGACCCCATCAACCGACGCTCCAATGCAGCCGTACCGCATACGTGGCGCGTTGGAGACAACATTCCAAGTGTCGGTTTCCGGATCATACTCTTCGACGGCAGAGGTCCGGGAATTGCCGCCGGAGACGTAGATTTTCTCGGCTACAGAGGATAGCGCGAACTTTTTGCGTGGGAAAACCGTGGCGGCGCGGGTGGAGACCGAGGCAGTCCAAGTGTCGTACTGCAGCGTGGCGCTTCTGCCGACGACGTAGATCCTGGGACCAGTGGAGCACGCGCGCGCGTGGGCGAGTAGAGAGTGGAAGTTGTGGAGGGAGAGGGCGTCGAAGCATGGAACGAAGAGGGAGGGGTGCCAGGCGGAATCGAGGAGCGTGGCTGTGGAGAGGCCGAGGTCGGTGGCGGCGATGGCGACAGCGGTGTGGCGGAGGAGGAGGCGGCGACGTCGGAGGTGGGAGAAGGCAGGGGAGCGGAGGAGGCGGGACCAGCGGCGGCAGACGAGGGAGAGGGCGGGGAGAGAGGCTGGGGGCACACGGGAGAGGCAATCCAAAACGATGTCGTCGGGGAGGGAGCTTAGGGTAGTGGCGAGGGGAGGGTACTTCGGGTGAGGCTGCGGTGGTGAGGTGAGTTTTGCGACGGCGTCGTTTGGGCTGGGGAAGCACGACTTCACAAACCATGTGAAGTGGCGAGAGTTGCAGCTTTCTCTCTCAGAACTCATTTGGTGAGAGAACGAACTAAGAGAGAGAAAGTGTTTGAAACAGAGAGATCCAATGTTGTAAAAATATAGTCTTTTTTTCCTTGTTCAAGTGAAATTTTTCAAAAATAATATTAAATTGCTGTCCTAACTTTATTTGTACAGGATTTAATTTGCCATACCGAATTCTGTAATTTTTTTTTCTTTTTTCTTCGAGGCTAATTTATATATATATATATATATATATATATATTATTATTTTATATTTATAAATTTATATATATATATATATATATAAATTATTATATTGTATGTAAAATAATATATTATTAATTTTAGTGTAAATAATATATATACATTATGTTAATAATACTATTGTGAATCATATTTATATATTAATGTAAATAATTTTTATGTGAATATTATTAATATTTTTCAATTAAGTAAATTTGTTTAATATTTATTCATATTAATGTTAGTATATTTATATTAAATATTTTTTATATAAATATTAGAGTAGTAAAAAGGGAATAATTAAAAAAATTATTATTAAAATATTATGATCATGATTTATGAAGTATACTAAGTTAGAAACAAAGTTTTAAAGGAATTTTATTTTCCTTATATCGATTTGTACTATAACTTGATTTCAAATGATTTTTTTAAGTTTTTTTCATTTTTGAATTAATGTTTAAAATTGGTCTTGTAGTTATTTGAAAGTGACGAATATTTTATTGAATCATTTGATAAAACGAACATCTTGTTGATTTGATGAAGTCAAAGACTGATGAAGTCAAATGTTACTTGATTAAAATGGTAGAGTGATTAGTGAGTCTGCATCTATACATAGGTATAATCATTCATATCTCTCTGCTCAGTGACGGATCTTCTTGGGAGTTGAGGGGGGTCGTGACCCCCCCAAAGTTTTGTAACTCCCATGTAATTTATGATTTTGGCCCTCCCCCAAACTTAATTAACATTTAATATATTTACTTGTATATTTACAATTTTATCCTCTCGAGTCCCTCCTCAGTTTTATAACTCTTATATAATTTATGATTTTGTCTCTCTCTAACTTAATGATCATTTAATATATTTAAGTATATATTTACAATTTTATCCTTTTACCCTTTTATCTTCTTTCTTCCATTTATATTTATTAATAATATATTATTTGGCCCCCCAAAATCAATGGTCAAGATCATGCCACTGTCTCTGCTGCATGAGGTTTCATCATTTAAAAGAATTTGAAAATGCCTCTAAAGATGTTTAATCTGTTAAAAACCAAAGTAATCAGTTAAATGGTTTTTAGAAAATTATTTTAACTGATATGATATGAGTTTTATCAATTAAAATTTTCTTAAAACTTACATAACAGTTTTTTAACTAATAGGTTTTCGAAATAATCAATTAAAACCTTTTAAAACAATCACTGGAACTGTTTTAATCGATATACCTTCGAATTAATCTATTGTTTTCATTAAAGGAGTTTTTGAAAACCTTCTACCGATATTTTAAGCTGATATAGTTTCTAAATAATCGATTAAAATCACTTAAAATGTTATGGGAAGTGTCCTGACAGTATTTTAATCGATATAACTTCGAAATAATCGATTAAAACCACTTGAAGTACTTTTTAATCGATGCAATCCTATATATGATCGATCAGAATGAGTTTTAACCGATTAAATCTCATATATGATCAATCATAATAATTTTAATCGATTAAACTGTTATTTAATCGATTAAAACAACTTAAGGAACTTTTTGCTAATTATTTCAATCTATTAAAACTGGTTGTTATCAGTTAAAATCACTTAGAAAGTTTTATGAAAATATTTGGCAGTTTTTTAATCGATTAAATTGCAAATTAATCGATTAAAACAACTTAAGGAATTTTTACAAAGTGTTTTAATTGATTGAAACGTTGTCGTTAAAAAAATCTGGAAAATGATCAAGAACATTTTAACATATTAAAAGAAGTTTTAATAGATTAATTCAAGACTTTTAACATATTAAAAGATTGTTTTAATAGATTAATTAAACCAGTAGTTAGAACAAATCTCTATATAAACATGATTGTTTCAGTCTTTTAAAATATACTTTTGAACAATCTATCAAGCAATCATAAGAGCTATTTTCAAGAAAGAATCACGCAAGTTTTGTAGAGTTTTTCAAAGTTATTTCTTGAGGCAATTTTTGCATTTCTTTTGTGAAGAAACTCATTCTGCAGAGCTGCATAATCCGGGTTTGATTGTTCTAGTTTCTTCTCTTTGTTTCTTTACATTTCTTTACTGTATGTTGGGTGTCTGGAATTGTTGGGCACTGGTTCTGTAGTTGGAATTTGGTTGCAGTTTGGTTCAAGAACTGAAAGTTGGTTTTGGTGAAGGTTTAGGTGCAAGAACTAGAATTTTGGTTCTTGTGGTAGGTTGGGTGTGTGATTGGAATCTGTAATCTGTAAAACATTCAATCTAGTGGAACTTAGCTGGAATTTGGCTGAGAACTGAACGTAGCTCTGGGATTGGGTGAACCAGTATAAATCTTGGTTGTATTTTTCTAAACCTTACTCTCTTTATTTCTGCTGTTGTCTTTATTTCAATTGCTTGATTCAAGAATTGGTCAGAACTCTTAATCTTTGAAATAGATAATCTGTAAATTACGAAAATCTTTCAAAGATCAATTCACCCCTCCCCCCTCTTGATCTCAGCCTCTTTTTCTAACATTATTAATTTTTATTTTTTAGTATTAATGGTTAGTTTAAGCTAATGTTCATTTCTCTCTTAGGATTTTGTTCAACCATTATGTTGTCTTAAAAAATTTTATTTCTTACTATGTTGTAATTGTAAACAAAAGACAGGTAATGATTTTGAAGGTTCCTTCTGTAATTGACCTTTTATTTAACAAACTAGAAACAACAATTTAAACGAAAACAAAATATAAATAAATATACCAAAGAAAACATTTAGTTTACTTCATGTGCTTCAGGCACGCCTAACATGCTCCTAAGTTTTAGGAATCGCTCTAGCTTTAAAGGCTTGGTCATTATGTCGACTATTTGATTTTGTGTGTTGTAGTGACTTAATTCAATGCTTCCATCTTTGACAAAATCTCTTAAGAAATGAAATCTTATATCTATATGCTTACTCCTTCCATGAAAGATTGGATTTTTGGATAGTTGAATAGTTGAATAGTTGAATTACTATCACATAACACTGTTGAATTATTGGCAAGTGTACCAAAATTATCAATCGCAGTATAGTATTTCGATTAAATAAAAGTCGATCCTACGAGGAACGGTTTCAATAGAAATTCTCAATTATATGCTTAATAAGTAGATTAAAAAAACAAATTGGGTTTTACATAAAAAGTTGAATTGAAATTAAATAACAAAGAACTGTAAATTGTTTAGAAAAGATCAATTAAAGACACTTACGATTGACTTCCTTCCTTATCCCTCTTTTGCAATGACTATGTCAATTAAGAACATCAATTAACCTAACAATGTTGATGTCGCCTACTCAATTCATCCATGTTGATTTCTCACACATGAAATTCATAAGAAAACCTAATAAATGTTGATTTCACACACAATTAAGAGATTTTCCAGTATTAGGTTTAGGGTGTTAAGAAATTGATACATTCATTTCATTCTTGGCAATTAATGTAACAAATATTTTTACCATGATCTAGGGTTCAAGATATATTTTTCAATCATACCCCAAACATCAAGAATAAATCATTCTAAAGCACAGAAGATAAAAATAACAACATAAAAACATAGATTAATATCTCAAAATATCACTATGATACAAAAGAGTTCAAAGGAAGTGCACCAAATCCCAAGAGAATGAAGTTAGCCACTCATGTTGGCCATTACAATGCTCCAAATATGGAAGAAGTGAAGAATTGATGAAGATTGGACGAAACCCTAACAGTAGTCGCGCCTCTTCTCCCCAAAACCGCTTACTTTTCTCAAAACGCATCTTATCATTTTAAAGGAAAAATTGGGTCTCATGTCTTTCGCTCAAGCGACAACACTCGCTCAAGCGAAAGTTCCCTATTTTCGCTCAAGCAACAAATTGCTCGCTTGAGCGAGTGAGCTCCAGAGAAGAATAACTAATATTCGCTCAAGCGAATTTATAGGCGCTTGAGCGACTGACTTCCAGAGAGCTTTAACTGATATTCGCTCAAGCGAAATTGATGGTGCTTGAGCGACTGACTTCTAGAGAAGAATAATTGATATTCGCTCAAGCGAGAGTCTATCTCGCTCAAGCGAGAGTCTATCTCGCTCGAGCGACTTCCATGCTGAAAATCTTCTTCCTCCTTTCAGTTTTGCTCCAATTATGTTGACAATTATGCTCCTTACTCTTGTATCAAGGTATTCTCGAATTCATCCTACATTGGGAGAAAAATATATTAGAATTAACATAAGTTAAGTGATTTCATAACAATTAAAAGCATAATTATATCAACTTTTTACCACTTATCAACTCCCCCCAACCTAGAATCTTGCTTGTCCCAAGCAAAGTAATTTTTCCAAAACAGAATCATCACTTATTATCACTTTCTCTTCCAGAACCACAACATAAAAATAACTTTCTAGATGCGATGCTCACAACTCCAAATGAAAATAGAATACATAAGCATTCAAGTTACAAAAACTAACAAAGGAAAATCTATCATCAACTATCCTCAGAGAAGTATGATCTCTCACATAGAGTGATAAATAGTCATCTCTAAATCTTAAGGGTAAGTATTTAACTCATTCAATCACTTCATTTAAACAATCCAATATTGATAGTCATCTTCAAGCAATCAACATTTGTTAAGCAAGACTTAAATCAAAAGGTCTTTTGAGGCTTGTAATGGGGTTGGATTAAGAAAAATCATTGGTTTTTCTAGGATATTCAAAAGTATTTGAGAAATTCAAATCATATGAATGATTATTGTTTAACATTTCCTCAAGTCGGGTTTCAAACTTCATGTTTTTGCTCTTACACAATGATAGTGAGTTAATAATCTCA